CMAAWWAAWKGGRWWAWYCTCCTAAGTTATTCTATTATTAGCAAGCATTAAACACCATTATGGATTTGAAGTCATCCAGGAAAGAAACCTCTGGGACCAACATCAGGACACTGGATCCCTCTGCTAAATCTATTATTGTGCAACTTGTTCAGACACAGTAAATAATCCACCAGATCTCTCTGGCATTCACAGTTTATCTTTAGTGGGGGATGAACTCTTCCTGTATTCTCCAGAAGATGAAAAACAAGCTTTTCTCACACATGAGGAAAACAAGTCTCAAGGGAAAAATTAGCCTTGATCAGCAAAAGCACCATTTAAATTCAATTAAATGTCTCCCTCTCTTTCAAATGTCTCTTTAGCAAACAGAGCAGAACAGCCCTTCAGACTAAGTTTTAAAAAGCTCATTATTTTGGTATTAGGTAACACTCCAGTGAAATTAATCCAAAAGCAGTTTAACCAACAGTTTACCTCTAATGAACTCACTCTGGGCTCACTCTGACCAGGAAAAATTAAAGAGAGATTTAATTTGAAAGGGCGTCTGATCACCAAGCGATGTCCCAGCAACATTCCTGATCCGTGAAGCCTCGGGAGACGAGCGAAGCCAAGGCAAGGCCTGGAAGAGCCCGCGAGAGGGCGGCACAGGGCCGGGAGAGGGGCTGGCACGGCCCGGGCCGAGGGGACACACCTGAGCACCTCACCTGGGCTGCAGGTCACGGGCTCAGCGCTCCCCTTGGCATGCAAGGGCAGGACACTTTGCTATGGATAATCTCCACCATTTTTCCTCCCTCCAAATAAATGCCACTACTAGTTTTATCCTAACAGCAACAGAAAAAGTAAGTCAAGTAATGGAACTTTAACTGCTCCAGAAGACACTTATTCCATCTCTCTATACAACACATGTACATCCAGACACCTGCAGAGACATGGGCTCAGCAATCCTGTGGGTAAAGCCCCTGTCACCTCGTAATGCCAAGCACAGCATCTAGATCAGCACACATCTTAGCATTTCCCAGTGTGAAATTTGGTTGAGGACACCTGTAAGAGGTCTCAGGATTTATAAGGAGCACACTCAAACACAGAGGGATAGTCTGTCCTCAGAACTCGCGACACAAGACGACAAAAGCTCTTGAAAAGGAGAAATTTTGGATTTCAAATCAACACCCCAAAAAATAATTTCCGGCCTTACAGTGCTTGTTTTGTTCCCTCAGCCAGGGCTGCCTGGTGCTATGCTGACAGCAGTGATATTTAGTTTGACTTCACCTAAACTCTGCACTGACGTTATTCCCTCCTGAAGCTTTGCATTCTTCACCTTTGTTCTCCTAAGAGGCAGAATCTGCTAATCATTGTGGTGTAAATTCATTCGTGTAATTAGATTCCTATTAAGATATTTTAATTAGCAATTAGCTTCTTGAAAATCTGACACAGAATGTAGCATACTCACGTGGCTACACCCAAGTTTTCTCCATCAGCAGTCTCCATCGTTCCTGCCTAACCAGACTGGAAGAGACAATCTGTACGTTGCTGCTCTTAGTGGCTATTTCTTCTTTTTGGACAAACTGCTAAGGAATAACATGTGACTTTGCATTAATACAAATTCAACTGTTAAACTATCATACCCTTCCCAAACAGCAGGAGAGAATTTTTAATTATTAAACACAAGAATTCTGAAATCCTGTTCTTTCAAAGTGAAGGCTACTTCTTTTCTGTAATAACCCAAATTCTCTAGGGACCTTCTCTGCCTACCCAGAGAACAGGCTCAAACCTGCATACACCTGCAGTCAGCCCCTAGAAAGGGGTTTTGGGTCACCTCTGCATGTCTTCTGCTGAGACATCTATGACTGACCATTATAGCAACGAAGCCAGATGAAGATGCCACCCTGCTCCAGTGTCCCAGACCAGGTTCTGGACAGCGATCCCAGGGGCTCTGTGCAGCGCCGGGCTGTGTCCCCCCGTGCCCCGGGCGGTGAGCAGGGGGTGATCCATCACCCGGGACAGGGCACAGAGAGCCC